GTTACTTAACGTCGACTATAAAATAGCAACCAAATCTATAGCCCATAGAATCGCTAAAGTCCTCCCCAAATTAATAAACGACGACCAAACTGGCTATGTCAAGGGCCGCTATATAGGACAGAACATTAGACTCATTAACGATATCATGAAGATTACTGAGCTAGAAAACATTCCCGGCATGGCGATTTTTGTGGACTTTAAAAAAGCTTTTGACACCGTCGACTGGAACTTTCTTTTTAAGACCTTGGAGGCATTAAATTTCGGCCCTCAGTTACTACAGTGGATCCGAACCTTTTACACTGACTGTTCTAGCTGTGTAGTAAATAATGGTTACGCCTCTGTCTTCTTTAAACTACAAAGAGGTGTTCGCCAAGGGTGCCCTCTTTCCGGCTCCCTATTTGTGCTGTGCGCTGAAATTCTTGCTAATGCAATAAGGTCTAATGCAAATATTCGAGGAATCAACATATATGGAAAGGAATTCAAAATTTCACAATACGCAGATGATACCACTGTTTTTGTCTCTGATATAGCATCTGCCCAAAAGCTCTTCCAACTGCTCCACGCTTTTCAAAAATGCTCTGGTCTTGAAGTAAACAGAAGCAAGACAGAGGGCTTGTGGCTAGGCGCGAACAAAAACAACCCGGAAGAACCTCTTGATATTGCATGGCCAAAAGATCCTGTATTTGCACTTGGTATTCACTTCTCTTATGATGACGAAGCTGCTTTCAAAAGGAACTTTGAACAGAAACTGTCCTCGATGGCTTCCTTGCTAAACTTGTGGTACCCTAGGAACTTAACTTTACATGGTCGAATTGTCATTTTAAAAGCATTAGCCCTCTCCAAACTTATTTATAACACTGCTGTCCTCACTGTCACCCCCACATTTATTCAAAAAGTTAATAAAGCTATTACTCAATTCGTCTGGCAAAAGAAAAAACCAAAAATAAAACAAACTACCCTGATTGGCCCTAAAGAAAAGGTGGTCTCTCATTGCCTGATTTTGACATAATTAACAATGCTCTCAAAGCAACTTGGATCAGAAGACTTGACAGCTGTCATCCCACCGCGAGTTGGACTCACATTCCTGTTTCCCTGCTAGAGCGAGTTGGTGGTCTCTTTCTCCTTAAATGTAACTTTGAACTTAAACATCTTAACATCCACATTCCATTGATCTTTTACGAGAAAGCCTTGTTGGCCTGGCAATCCATAAATTCGTTCACTCCCTCCTCAAAAGAAGAAATACTGAATGAAATCTTATGGAACAACCGCTTTATTAGGATCAACAATTATTCAGTATACTATAAAGCATGGCATGTAGCGGGTGTTGAAAAAATTGGAGATCTCTTCAACGGCAATACCTTTCTATCTCACCAAGACTTCTGCTCTTATTTTGGTCTTAAAACTAATTTTCTTACCTACTACGGTTTATGCAAAGCAATTCCTCCTAACTGGATTAAAATAATGAAAGGTAAATTACAACCGCCTTCGAATAAATCCATAAGTATGGATAGAATTCCCGTTGAGAAGCTTTCTTCTAAACTTGCTACCAACTTTTTTGTTGAAAGAGAATTTGTTCCTGCCACCGCCGAAAAAAGACTGAGAAAAGCTAGTTTAAACGAACAGCAAATTTCTCAAATTTACAAGATGCCTTTCAGTGCTACGAAAGACATACAACTCTCAATGTTTCAGTTCAAGATCTTACACCACATCTTACCCACCAACGCTACATTATATAAATTCGGAATTAAGGAACATGACCGCTGTCATTTATGCGCTGAAAAGCAAACAATCACACACCTATTTGTGACTTGCCCCAATGCTCAGCTGTTTTGGACACATTTTTCAGTTTGGTGGCGCGAAAAAAACAACATTGAGATCTCGCTTTCTGAAGCACAAACACTTTATGGCATTACAGACACCGTGCCTCAGTGTCTTGGTTTAAACCTCTGCTTGATAATTGCAAAATACTATATTTACACCGCGTCTAAAAATGAGGAAGATTATTTTTTCGACGCTTTTTTGTCTCTCCTTAAAAATAAAATACAAATTGAAACTAGCAAAGCAAAGGTGCAAGTCAAGCTGTAAAAATAATTTTCTTGATTCTGGCTAATTTCCCTTGTTTTTTGGCTTTTTTGTTTTGTTTGTTTGTTTGTTATTTATTTATTTATTTATCTATTTTTTTGTCGTTTTTTACGTATTTACTCTCCGTTAATAGATAGTAAGTTAGTAATTAGTTGTATTAGAATTCTTTTTTCATTATTTTGTAACAGTCTCCAACTCATTGGCTCCTGTTTTGTAAGCATTATCTTGTAAGTTTATATTATGTAAGTATGTAGTATTTAACTTAGCAAGTTATATGTAAGTGGGTATTAAAGCTTTATGTAAGTAAGTAAGTAAGTAAAAAAAAAAAAAAAAAAAAAAAAGAATCTCTTTGAGATCCCTAAACGAGCGGGCGTTGAGAAAAGTCGCTTGGCTGACCTGCTGTGCGAACTTGGAATTACATGTGAGCAATCAAGTTCTCTTTCTTCCCGCGTCTGTGCAAAATGCGGCACCAAAATAAGAAATGCTATCGGACTTTTTCGATTTTTGCGGGGAAGTCTTCTCTTCCAACCCCCGAAAAGTGTTGTGGACGTTGAACATTCGCCGATTGCGAACGAATGGCACGGTCTCCTGTAAATGAAGGTCTTCCTTCGTCGTCTAACGACGGTGTAAGGACTGGCAAAGCGCGCAGATCAATTGTTTATGGCCCTTCTGAAGACGAAACATCACTAGTACTTGAGAAAACGGATCAACTGAAGGTTGTAATCCCAACAAAGGATGATACGATTTCCCTACGATCTGCCCCAGACGAGCTTGCAGAAAAAATTGTGAAAAACATATGCAATTGCAACTGGAAACCAGTCGCCAATGTGATGTTCGCACATACGGAGCTCAGGAACGAATTGATGTCGGCTGTCTCCAAAAATTTATCTCGTGAAATGTCTGATTATTGCCACCGTGAAAGCATGCTCAAGTACAGTACTCCAAGTGAGTTGTCCGCGTTCTCTAATAGAACTTTTGTGCACGAGGTTAAAGTATTTTGCCCTTTGTGGTACTCGTGTATTATTGGAGCTGCAAACGTTGGCGATGACATCGAGGAAAGTATAAATCTCACGGCTTTAGCGACTGCTTCAATCGCATGCCATCGATACAGCCGTATGTCTGCATTCGCAAAGCAAATTTCCACCGTTTTGGTTCATACTGGAGCAAAAGCAAATGACTTTACTCGATTGAATAGGCTTGGCATTTGCTCTTCTCACAAGCAGGTAATCCGTGATCAGGTTGAAATGGACAGTCAGCATGATGTGAAAGTATTGTTGTGGAAACGTGCCATCGAGGAGAGAAAGGGAACTTTGCTGTTAATCGAAGAAATACAAAGCCAGGCTGCAAGTATGGACGCGCCAGTCGATGTGTCCCAAACTACGCTAGAGGGCAAGTATTTTTATTCTGAATTGTCATTCAACAAGATGAGTTGCCTTCTTCACAGAAAAGATGGAGAAAATTGCCTTGCCAGTGCTGAGGAGTTAGCGAGTGCGAAACAAGACTTGATGAAGGAAGAGCAAGTGTCTTACAGGTACACTTTCTAGCAACAACTTGAACATCATATTAATTTTATGCTCAGTAACAGAAATCACGAGCTACATTGATTAAGGTTATATCGCACGGGTCAGCTAATTTGTTCCAATTATTGTCATTTACAAGTTGTTTATTTAAACTTCAAAAATATATATATAATGGGACTGACTCCCATTTCTTCCACTCTTCGGTTTTACATAAATAATTTTATTCACCCACTCTGTTATCATAAAAAGGCCTTTCACAAATAACTGTAAATAACTGTATTTTTGTATTGTTTAAAATTATTATATTATTATGGTGGTTGAATTTATCTGGAAACAGCCTAATTTGTTGCAGGTTTCAGATGTTTATTCTTCCTACTGAAGACAGGTTTTTTCTTTTTTTAGAATTGTAGCTGACAACTTGGATTTCAGCCTCTCTGCCAGGATCCAAACCAGCAAACTGAGAAACCAGTCAATTCACTGGACTCATCACCTTGCTATCCGTGATAGGATCGTAACCCCTTGCAGGGATCATGCTGAAGCAACAGGTCAAAGAAAGCTAATGGACCTGGAGTTATCCGAGTTGCTACCTAGCGATGACAGTAACTTTGCTGTTGAAAGTGACTTCATCACTCTGGTGTCAAGGATATTAGTAAAGTACTTACCTGCTTTCAGTTTTTTAAAGGACGTTGTGGTCCACCATATCCCTCATCAATACAGTCAGGAGATGGCACAAAAATCTGAGGTGGTAAGTACAGTTATTTATGTGATCTCAAGTTTGTTAGGGGTGAAATATCTTGCACATGTCTGGTCACCCATTTCTCAGGATTGACTTTTGTGAAATGGCAGTGGATTTTACTTTTGAATTAGAAATTCCCTGCTGTTAATATGTATAAGTGTTAATATGTTCAGCAAAAATTGACGTGCAACATTAGTTGACTTTCAATTTGGAACATAAAAAGTGTTTCAACTGTAAAAATGTTTGACAGTTAGCAGAGAAAGGGGCACAAGCCATTAAATAATGACAAAAAACTACACGTCTACAGAACACTCCCCACACGTAGCAATGAATATTGAAAATCAGAGAGACCTTCTATTCCTGTTACATTCATAATAAGAAACAGAAATAATCAAAGTGTGTGTACTACTCTCACTGTTTTTTGTAGTGTTTTCTCGGTTTGGAATTCCTAAATACCAACATTTCTGGGGAAATGGCTCAGTATCTGATGTCTGTACAGTCAAAGTATGTACCACAGTTAAAGAAGGACGGTGGCAATGTGATTCTTGAAAGAGTTTACCTGGATGGAGACCAACTTACAGAAAAACGTGCGCGCAATGTTCAGTGGGTTTTCCAGGATGGCGATGACATGTTCGATCGACTGGAGGGGTTAGATCCAACATATGCAGATTGGCATGCTAAAGTTAATCTGTACAAGGTATAATTTTCTGTTACTGGTTGTTCCTCTGCTTTCCTTTCAAAGCCGACATGTAAAAAAAGGAAGAAATCCAGCCAACCCATAAGCCAAGGCCTTTCCTCTGAAAAATTAAATATGTGTGTTTTAGAGTTTGAATCAGGCTGCCAAGACTCTAAAATGTTTCTTTTGCATTTATTCACTAACTATGACAAACACTTCGGTCAATAATCAAACAAATCAAAGCAACAGCCAATTCTACCTGGAAAAAAACTGGAAAAACGATCTTAGTCAGCAATGTAATGAGTATATCTGATGTTGCTGTTTGAAATTTGTCTTAGATTGAGAACAAGATCTTTCTTAAGGATGACTCTGCTCCAGAAATTGGAACCACTATGGCAACAGTCAACCGAACAGGAAAAGACAAATGCAAAAAAAGGGGTTGACGATTATAATGCTTATAGAGAGTTCCATGATCGCGAAGTGGAGGGACATATTATTGCAGCATTTATGGTCTTCTGTGGTATGGAGAATATGGAACGTATGTTTTTGTACGTCCCTCCTGGATATATTCCGATTTTTGTGGAAGGTTTTTTGGTTTGAAACCACTAGCCAACTAATCATTCCATTCTTCCTGCATATTTTCCTTTAAAAGATTTGGACCTTGAAAGTGCTCTGTCCCCATCACAATTATCAATGATGCTACTTGGGGTGGCTATGAATATTTTAATTCCAGGATTCACACAGTGACACAAAAAAATTAATGTACGACCTTTTTTACATTTTATTTGCAGATGTGCCAACCAAAGTTCAGCTGCCCCTTAAAAGTGAAGACAAAGAAGTGCGACGCAGCTGGCTAGAGAACTTGATAAGAAAATTTCTCCGCGAATTTGTTTTTGACACCAAAGAGTCAGACGAGGTGGTTCAGGGAGTCAATCGCCTTGACATGCAACAAAGAGAAGGTTATGCATGTAGAATCTGTGGAAGGATCTACCAGGGTGATGCTTGGCGTGTAAGGTAAGAAATGCTTGGACTCGGCAAGCAAAAGTACATGTGAGAGGCTGCTGTGAATGGAGAATTTGACCTTGGCTTAGAGTATTCTACTTTGTCATTCCCATAAGACAGTGAGTCGGTTGATAAAAGTGGTTGCCACACTATTTTCCAATGTAGAATTTATTTTGTTCTAATAGACCAAGTGAATTGACATCAACCCTTTGGAAGAAAAAAGCTAAAACAAACAAATAAACATAAGCATTTTTAACGATTTCTATTTTTTCTCAATTTTAAACTCCTTTAGACACGAGATTGCAAAACATGGCCCGAGAATTCAAGATACTCCTGATGAAGATGGCAGAAATAGCTTTGGGTATTTTAAGTGCGCAGCCTACAACTGTGGTCTTGTATTCAGAACTAAAGCTACTTTAAAAATGTAAGTAGTTTTTTCTAACAGATTCATCTTACTCAAAGGTGACCTATAAAGGTGGCAGGTACAAAACACAGGTCACAGGTGCATGTTACTGCTCTTTTGATAAATAACTGGATTGTGATAAAAAATACTATTATTGATAAAATAAAAAGTATTATTATTCTAAAAATTATTTTTTTAGGTTTTTGTTTAGTGGTGCTTTGCCAACATATTAGTTTTATTTTATTTTACTTTCTTGTAGTCATCAACAAGTAGAGAGACCTGTGAATGATGAAGACAAACATGATTACAGACTTAACTATCACAAGGCAAAGATCCGTTTTGGCTTACTCCTGGCTGACATTAATGATGTAGTAAAGGAAGGAGATGGAAAGCGATTACTTAACCTGTACAGGAATGCTTTACTTCTCTACAAATGTCACGGCCACACTAAATATGACTATTCAATCCTTCTCTTTCTAACAAAGGTCAAAGCTATCTTGTCTGCGGACAAAGCAGAAAGCCTAGTTGCTAACAGGTTTTTCAACACTCATGGAAAACAAGGGAAAAATATTTCTATGGACTTATTCCTTGAACACAGAAACAACTCTGTTAAGGGTTATTGTGATTTGTTCGGCCCCAACTTTGGAGAAGAGTCAGCACAGCGAATTGCCAGGTCTTCAGGTATTACTGACGAAATTTTGAGAAGTGTCAACAGCGACTGCAAGATTTTAGAGAAGGACAAAACTAGATCCAGCACTGACCCAAGTGAAGCAGTGAAACAAATGGTTGCAGATCTCCTTTCCATAAATGCTTTTGTTTTTAAACCTGGGAGAGAGGGTTACACTTCATTCCCAAAAATCAGTGGAAACCTTGTTCAAGGTCTTCATTACAGAGACCAGTAGAACTGGATGAAAACAAGATTAAATGAATGGGCAAAAATATATGAACACCAAAACTGACTACTTCCAGGAAGTTGAATGAGGCAAAATGTTGTTAAACTACCTTACAAAAAAATATTGTAGGAGCAGCATTTATTTCAACCATAAAATAATCACATAATTATACGATAAAATGATTATTGATACTACTTTAAGTTCAGCATTTAAAGATAATATTTAATCTATTGACATCTGATCTTCAATGTTTCAGAAAGAGGTATCAACTAAAATCAAAGTCAGGTCCAGACTCAGATGTATTTCATAGGATAAGATAATATATAGATTTAGCCAGGGCTAAAAGCGAGGCTCCCATTATATATTTATAATTTAAATCAAACAATAAACTTGTATTCCACAATTCAGTTAACTTTAGAGCACATAGTACATTCATGTGACTTTTGAGGGAAAGGCTAAGTGATTTTAGAGAAAAATAATTTGCAAACAGCCCAAGAGTGAACAAAATCTTACATCGAGTTGATAACCTCATATGTACACCCAAAAAATAGCAATCATCTTCGACCACATTTAAGAGCCATAATGGCTCTTGATCACCGTAAGATTAATTAGGCCTGGAAAAAAAATCAGCTTGAATTTTTTTGCGTTCGACAAGTTTACTTTACGAAATCTTGCCAACAAATCTGGTTGCGTGTAAACAACCCTTTCATACCATTTATACATCACCTCTAAGGTGAAACAGTACTATGAGGTACTGTTTTAATCATACAGACCTCGGACAGAATTCAGTATTTCACAGTTTTGCGAGAGAAATTGCACTCATTCAATTGCACGCGTGGGCTTTTAGCTAAACCGTTAAAAAAATGTCCAAAATCACGTATACAGCCAGCCGGTTCTCACTTTTGCAGTGCGAGCTGTAGCGAATGTTTGAACGAACATACTAGAGTTAAGCTCCAACACAATAAAGAAATTATTATGTTTATTTTTTATTTAATAGTTTTATCGATCTGTAATCTTTAAAAGCGTTTGATACGCGCGGCATTTTGAGTACTCCTGCAAGCGATGTTCACTGAACGACTGAAAACAAACGGCACAGCGATTAAAATTACAAGAGAGACTACCAGCAATCAATAAAGGAAATATAATTCGGCGAAACATATACAGAGACAACATTTTTCATTCACGAAGACAAATATTAAAGTGTCTCTAAAAATCCTGAGTCTTCAAGCTTAAAGCGTAAGTTTATGTTTTAAGCCGGCTTCCCAGTATTTACTTTTTTCACAGATGAACTCGAGGCAAGAAAATCGCTCAAAGCTTTCTTTTACTGCCAGAATTATAACTAAATGTTCTATGGAACGTTTTCTTTCTATCTGCGGTGAGAAAATGTCTAAAGACTTTTTAAAGTTGTGTAAGCTTATATCAAGTTTACCTGATTCGTGGTCAGATCAAACTGTCTCAAATCTTACAAACGTGCATAAACTACATAGCCGCATAAACCACGCTCGACTTCTTTAAATTAGATATAAAAAACAAACATCAAACACAATAATTACTGGGGCTTACCATTCGAGATGCAGCTCCTGAAAGGTATCAAGGAAGGCCAGTATCGCTTCAGAGTTTTCAGCCCCTACGCGCATCAAGCAAGGTGAAAAACAAAAACGTTGACACCCGAAATCGGATTCCCGACTTTGACAAGTGATGTATTAATTTCTCAACCAAAAACCAACTAGCCATGAATAACAGAAGGCTCCTGATAGCAGCTAAATTTCATTTTGTGCATCCAGTGGAGAAAGACAGATAAAAACATCACAAGTTGACACAAAACTCTCTCAGCTTCAGCTGTCAAAGTAAACAAGATTCAAAATGCTGCATAAATTTTCCGCATGAGCTCTCCTGTCAAATTTTGACCAATCAGAGCTTTAAAAATGGATGTAGAGCGTGACCAACGCGTGACCATGGTGAGCAAAGTCAAAAGCAACTGTCTTGCCTGTAATAGCTGGCTGAATTTTCGGGTCCGAGGTCAGTTTTAAATCAAAATTTTAATTGTGCGGCCCAAAAACAAAACATATTTCATATGAATGAAAAAAAATCAAACTTGAGCCTGCGATCATTTGAAAACTAGTAACTTGTCAGCGGATAACTTCAAAAAAATACTTGACCTCGATGGGTTAACACCCGAGCCCGCGATACGGTCAAGTGGTACTGGTCAGCGGATACCCTGTTTTGACAGCTGTCAATTGATCAAAACACTGATGTCTAATGGATGTGTGCATTATCAGTTTTCCTGTGCTCTCAAACTAGCTAGAAAGTATGAGATTGAACATTGATCGCGATCTAGTAAAACAACTGGTCAGCGGACAGCTTCCAAATAACTCACGTCACCTTGATGAGTTGACACATGAGCCCCCGATATGGCAATATGATACTGGTCAGTGGCTATCTTGTTTTGACAGCTGTCAATTGACCATATCGTGAATGGCCAATGTAAAAGATGTGGATTTGCTAAGACACGCCTGAGACACCCCTCCCTTCCTTTTGATAGTCTCCCCTACCCTACCCGTACAATCTGTAGACGCGTACGTACGTACGTACGCTCGGTCAGTCACGTGACAACCAAAAGAAAAGAGGTTGACCATATTCCATGAGTATGGGGCTCTGTCCCACGCGCGCTTCGCGCGCGAGGGAGCCCCGCTAATATCATTAATGATTTTGACTGTTGTGCCACAAATTATTTGTGAGTTAAGTGTACTTAGCAAAAGGCATTTTATGTGAAGATCCATACCTTGACCCTTTAACTCCCAGAAGTGACTGGCAAGTAGCTTTCTCTTATAACAGCAATGTGCTGTTCAGCAAAAGGTGATGAGAATAACAAACTTATCTAAAATTCTATTAATTCCTGAACAAGGGAAGTAGCAGCTACAAATGAGAATTGCTAATCAGCTCTTCGTAGTTAAAGGGTTACACAATGCAAATTTACTAGTTCATTTGGAGGCATAAAGTGTTGGTTAATGAACAAACTCGTCCCAGTGCTTCTATCCCCCCCACAAGGACAAACCATGTTGTATATTGTGGAACTGCTCAGTGACAAGTTTTTTTGCTGCTTTTAGAGTTACTTTTTGTTCCTTCCCAGTTAAATGGCAAACACTTATAAAATGGTCCATGAAATGTCTTGTGCCAGATACATCCATTGAATAATAATAATTAATTTAAAGCTGCATTTTCAGTTGCCCTGGCAGCAATAATGATAGCATTTAAGGTCATTTTGGGCCCAAACAGTAACTTTTTGAACCAACTACAAAACCTTTTAAAAAAAGGAATCCTTTGTCTAAAAATTACAAATAATAAATTACAAATGACCGTATTTTTGAAAGTGATTGTAGGAGCACTTTCTCTTAGACCTGGAAAGACAGAAGTAGAAATATTCTGTTTGGATGTTTGCTTTTGCGCATGATTGATAAATACATTGACCTCATTTTTGATTTTTGCAAGGTACAAGATACTGTGTCTTTCCAGCTCTTTCGGCAGGGGTGAAATGCATTGTTCCTGCCATTACAAAAGAAACACCTGTAAATACTATTTTCCCTATGTTCTCAGTATCTGTTACAGCTTAAGTATCAGTATTTAGAGTTTTTGCTTGCGATTTATACAGATGGAAGCTCTGGATTGTCAGAGTCACTGTCGGAGTTATCAAAATAATTCTGTAAAAAGTTGCTGTCGTCATTTACTTCAGTAGAACCTGCCATCACACTGTCTAACATAGAAATCGATCCTTCATCATCACTTTCAATGTCTCCAAAGATGTCTTGGAAAATACCCAAAATGAAGCGTGCTTGTCCAGTGGAGAAAACGGGGAGAGTCTGTAGGACATCTTCTAAGGTGTATATAGTGGGAGCATTACGGATTATCTCTTTTATTAACTGATCTGTGAAAGCATGGGTTGTTCCTAACAAAGTCATTGTCCCTGAATTAAGAAATTCTTGATATTCTTTCAGAGCTTCCTCCAAAACCCTTTCATCCTCCTTGCTGACATTTCTTGAAGTCTTAGGCTTACAAACATCCACAATTCCAGCAAATGGAAGTTCCTCAGCATTACAATCTGAATCATTACACATACATAATGATCTGCAATTTGAACAACAAAGATGGAGGAGCGATACTGTTTCAGCTTCAACACCAAGTGGTAGTAGAAGAGCCTTTCTGTGGCATTCTTTTGACTTAACAAAGTTCTTGATGTCAGTCTCACAATGAGCAAGTTTGTAACCATTTGATATTACAACATTGTAGGCCTGCTTCCCATCACGCCCTGCTCTACCTGCTTGTTGGACATGGTCTACAATACTTCTTGCTGGGTCCAGGTGTATCACAAACCTAACATCAGGAAAATTAACACCCATACCTAGAGCTAGAGGGAGGATAAAAATTCCTCGTTGACTATTCCATTTATGTATGGTTTGCGAAGATTACCTTTAAAATAACTTCCTTACTATTTGCAGCAAAATTTTATAGGATTTTTCATATTTCATTGTCTAAGTCTCGCTATACTTCGTTAAAAAAAAGAAAACAAACTTTCGGTTTCAAAAAATATAAAGAAAGAGGAATCAGAAAAATTGTCGCCTTCAAAAAGCTTTTACTCCTAAATAAAAAGGCTTAGTCTTCATCCCTCTGTTTTCTTTAATGTTTTTAAGTTAACATCTCATGTTTGTTAAATTTTGAGAACCCTGGACCTTAAAAAAGCCGTGTATAGATAAAGCTCGGTAGTTTAACTGTCAACAAAGCAAAGTTGCTTGCTCGTGGGTCCGTTCACTTGAACTAATCTCATTTGCATAGGAGTATGCCAAGGGTCTACTTCCGCTGATGTACACGTGACGAGCTTCACCGACTTTCACCCGTTATTTCCAGTACACTGAAGAAGATTCACCTTTTATACTCCCCGTTCTTCAAAAATACTCCAGTTGACATTATTTTACCTGAGAATTATCTTTAATATTTTGACATTCTAGGCATTTGATTAACATTATCGAATTAAATTTAGTTCAATTTGATTCAACCGTTCATTCCCACTTGAAAAAGAAAAATATGTTTGCATAAACACTGTTTGTGTGCGCTCTTCTTCGATGAAGCTATGGAAGGGTCGTGCTCCTTCGAGTCATTAGTAGGTACTCTGTGTTCGTTTGATAGAAGGGATAAGCAGAGATCAACTGAGATTGTTCCTTCGTCGCTGTCACACTATTAAGGACGTAACTGGGCATAGATCGACATGGTCTCTTTCTGGTATTGAAAACGAAACAAACTTTATTTTAGCTCAGAACTGACCAGGCAGACCATTCCCGTCGCAATGATAATTTCCCTTTTATTCAAACTCTTCAGCTAGATCAGTCAAATCCGAAAAAGTATGCTCGAAAGAGAACATTTTTCGGCAAAAACTCTTGGAAAAATCCTATTTAATTTTCAAAATGAGTGGTCAGGCAAAGGCCCAGCCGGCCAGTCGTGACAAATGGAAAGCGCCCTAAGTTCCTTTAATATATGCCCTTTCCATCATTCAGAGCTCGGTATTGGATGGTGACGGAACAGTTATTCCAATTCGTGCCAAGTTCCAAAGGAAAGCGCCAATCACATAATTAAAAGAAGAGGGAAACCTGTTAAAGCCGACAAAAGAGTTAGAGGAAGAACATTTCAAAATATATCTATCAGCAAACCGGTATCTTCATTCCTGTAGGCTCAGGTACTCTTGGTTTATTCACTGTATTATATTCTAATAAGTCACTTAAATTCAATCCACGAATACTGTATAAAGTTTATCATAGTTGTCAACTCTCTTAGTAACCCAGAGTCTCCCCGGTACCAATCCACCTAATCTGTCCGATAAAATAAACCTTTCAGTTTTTTTCTTAGTTTGAAATTAAACCTGATTTCCCCCAGAGTAAATAATTTTTTTTTAATTTAAAGATCGTAGTCCAGTTCTGGTGGCTTTTGTTGTTGTCGTTCTATTTTATTTTATTTTTTTTACATTTTCTTCAAACGACTGACTTGTACCTCATTCAAGACTACGTGTGGGGATATGGCGAATGATGAAGCCATTGACTTTAAGGTCAGTAGCAGATGCGCTTGCAGAATGTTGCAAGAACGCAGGACACTGGGGATCACGAAGAGAAATCTTATCTATTACGACGGACCATTAGAAAATTTATGGGGGGGGGGGATTTTTGAGCCGCGGGAATTTTTTCCTTATCAAATTCCTTCATGAATTTCAGTTTTAGGCCGTAGCATGAATATTTGTTAGGGTTAATTGGCGTGCATGAATTTTTTTTCATTTAAGTTTTCCTTGCGCGAATATTTTTTTTGTACTTCGCCCGTCCCCCCCACCCCCGCCCAATAATGTAATTCTCTCCATTTCAACTCAATTACAATTAAAACTTATATAGCACATCTTTTCATGGCACAAGATTAATTGCGCTTTACAATACGTTAAAAAGGCTAAAAATGAATAAAAATTACAAGCAGGTAAAAAGATTTTTACTAAACAATAATATGCAGGTAAAAGGTTAAGAAAATGAAAATAACAAATAAATATTTGATAACGACTGACACACTATTATCTCTAGATGTAAACAGCCTGATAAAGCTGCAATAGCCATTATGTCCCATAAGGAGTTAAGTGACGTGGGCATCTCAGCAGTGAGAGACAGAGTGAAACTTTGAGCATTCTGCCGGGGAGAAAGTGAGCTCAAAGATGATAGAAGAGCTGAAATGAGCGCCGGTCTGCTGAGCGGGAGGTCGCGGATTCAAACCCCGGTCGGACCAACACTTAGGGTCTTTAAATAACTGAGAAGAAAGTGCTACCTTTGTAATGTCATCTCCAAATGGTTAGACTTTCTAGTCTTCTCGGATAAGGACAAAAACCCGTAGGTCCCGTCTCACAGCACTTTCACTGATCTGTTCTAGTGGGACGTAAAAGAACCCACACTACTGTTCGAAAAGAGACGGGGACGTAGACCCCGGTGGTGTACCCACCTTGAAGGGTTGTGGGATTGGGTAGGGATGGCACCTTGCATGGGACCTATGAGTCCCGTTCGTGCCTATTCCCTCTGGGCAGGCCTGTGTCCAGAAAAGCTTGTAAAACTGAACCTATCTGGGATTACGGAGGCTTCCAAGAGTTGTAGACATTCCAAGACAACAGTGAAGAAGGGGAAGACCACACCACCTACAAGTGCAAGGAAAGCCACTCTCAAATTTGAAATCTTGTTTAAAGGGAACCTCCACTCTTACTACAGAATAAGTTTAAATCGAAGAAAATTATGTTGATAAACAAATTTGTTCGAAATTTGTCTTAAAAAAAGTGTTTATATCAGGAAAAGTGAATTTTAAAATCGCTTATTTTCACTTTCAAATTTGGCGGGCGCCGCCATCTTGAATAATTGTGACGTGTTACGGTTGCTCTATTGTTCTGACACAAAGAGCTTTTGTTTTATAACAATAGGGCAACCATAACACGTCACAATTATTCAAGATGGCGACGCCCGCAAAAGTTGAAAACAAAAATAGGCTAATTTAAAAGTTATTTCTTTTGGATACAAACGCTTTCTTTAAAAATATTTTAGATTGACTTGACTGTAACAGTAATTTCCTGTGATTTAAAGTTATCTTTTTGTTGAAGTGGAGGTTCCCTTTAAGTACTATGTCAAAGGCTTTGGTTACAAAGCCCAGAGGTCTGAACAGGGTGGTGAAGTGCGAAATTTGGACCTACCAAGACATGCCCCAGAAAAAGAATGTCTTTTACAGCTGAAAAAGATTTTCTTTCCAGAAGGCCATAGTCTGGTCGGAAAGGGGGATGACATAGAATTTAAGCTTGCCGATTTCAAGTGTCGGACCATTTACATGTGCGAGGACTTTTCGCTGGAAAGATATAAGCAAAGATACGGTTTGCATACTCTCCGATTATTCCTCCTCAGAGACAGCACAGTTTCATCAAAGGAGTCAGATTACGAGGAATTGAAGAAGTCTTCGTTTGAAGACAGTGGGTCTGAAGAACCTGAAGAGATGCAATCTCGGTAACGGATAAGAGCCAGCCTGTTGCAGCCCGCTTGAGCACAACCTCTGCAGAGCCTTTAGTGCACAGTAGCTTATCAGTAGAACATGCTATGGATGAATTGATCGGGAGATCTGAAGAACGCAGATAATTCATGGATCAGCTTCAGGCAGATTACAAGGCACCTCTAGCAGCAGATAAAGAAAAAGAATTGGCAAACGAGGCAAGCATCCGAAGGGAAGCTCTCTAAATATCAAGGATGAACCGTGTCCAACCCGAACCAACATTACAAGAGCCACGCGTGATGGTTTCTGCTTGACACCCTACCCTTGGTGTCGTCAGGAGGGAATTTCCACCCAACTGCACAATTATGGCATTGTACGATTGGGTGGGGTCACTGTCCACCCGTCCAGAACATTTTCCTCTGTTTCAGCGGCCCTTATCGCACTGCTTACCCTGAAGATGACATAAAGTCTGTCAGTGCTTTGTATGTCGCAGCAACAGTTCTCCATCTCTTTGTGCAGAGATGATGACGAAGTTGCGGTTTTCAATGCTCAACCTGACAATAACGACAGTGTTAATGACACTTTGTCTGATTACGAGTTCGAAGCAGCAACTGCATATTTCAGTGATGGTGTAGCAGCCGACACATACAAACAACTTGAAGAGGTCCAGTCGCATCCCCCAGCGCAGCTTTTGGAAGATGATCCTGAAGTCTCCACCAGCGAGCAATTGAACATTCAGATATTGAAAGGCCTAAATGATAAATGTCGAAGTGTAAAGGAACAGTTTGAAAACGAACTGGAGATGGTCAGGGAGGTCAGTCGACACAATTGTGTGAAAGATATGTTGACTCATTTCAGGCAGCAAAGCGTTGCTGACAGTAAGCTTTGCCTTTTATTTAAAGGTCAACATGCAGTTGTGTACTCTGTCTTTTGGGACCGTTCTGTTTCCAGTTACTGCGAAGGATCCTCTCACTTCACGTTTCCTGTCACTGCTGCCAAGTCACAAGATGACTTTGTTGCTATAGGTCGGATTTTAACACATCAATTCATCGAGACTGGGACACTTCCGCTGCAGATATTGAAAGCCATAATACAGCAAGCCGTAACTGGACGGGTATCAGAAGAGTGTTTGGTGCAATCCCTCCTCATGTTGCTCTACGAAAAAGAAAGAGAAATCCTTCAACAAGCCCTCCTTGGTGTAAAACCATTTCCTACTGAAAATGTGATAGATATTCCCGTGGATTATGGTGTCACAACTATTCCAAGTACCTCAAACATGAAGCAACGTATGTGAAACAGAGATGATTTCCAGGCCGTTCATGTGCATCACCAAGTTAAGGGAAGGAATGGGATCATTCTGGGATGGTGTTAATGCTGACGAAATCCATGCTGTCACAATATTTGTACTCCAACCCATAGCAACGTACTGAAGAACATCGAGGTAACAGCTGTGTTATGTATTCGCTATTTGTCTGTCAGCGGTTGTTGTTTAATGCATGCGCATTAAAGCAGGCCAGCTTGTGAGTAGACCGCCATGTTGGAAACTTGTATGCTTATGTTGTGTCTTTTATCTAGTTAAATCTGATCGTGTTTGGAACCATCGACTGGTTTCTCCATATTTAACACTGGCAACGAGGATGGGATTAACTGAAAAAGACTGAAACAGCCAAAAATGGTGGCAGTTAAGAATTCGGCAGAATTGGCACCACGTTAGAAGAAACGACTTTCATCGTTTCAATACTTTCTCGAGCCAAAGGAGCGGTGAATGAAGCAAAAAAGAAAGCTTTCCTACTTCACACTGCGAGAATAGAGGTTCAAGAGTTGTACGAAACGCTAATGGACCCAGGCATAGATACGTTAGAGGACGATACCGCAACAGAATACGAGAAAACTGTTCACACTCTGAACGCGTATTTTGTAACCAAACTGAACGAACCGTATGAGAGACATGTATTCAGAAGCATGACTCAACAGGATGGAGAGACAGTTGATCAGTTCATCACTAGACTCAGGAAGCAAGCACAGAATTGTAATTTCAATGACCCCAATGTTGACATCAGAGATCAAGTCATCGATAAATGTTGATCTTCGGTTTTAAGACGAAAACTACTGGGAAAAGAAAACCTGACTCTGACAAAAGTGCAGGAGGTTGCTCGAGCTATGGAAGCTGTAGACCTGCAGGCTAAACAAATGGGGGAGCAGAGAGAAGAGCCATTGAGTGTGCATAAAGTTGTCCAGAAATCTTCTTCTAAATCTTCTAAGCAGCCAAACAAGAATTCTAGTAAAGGGCGGTGCTACCGATGTGGTCAAGAGGGGCATTATGGCCGAGATAAATGCTGCCCAGCTCGCCAAGCAGAGTGTTTAAAGTGTATAATGGTGGGTCATTATGCAGCTGTGTGCAAGATCAAGACGAGGTGGAGCAGCAAACTCGTTAGCTGGCCGGAAGCGAGAGGCAGAAGTTAACAAGTATTTGGAAGAAGTGGTTGTAGACGACACAGATGATGATGATGATGATGACGCACTAGGCCTGTTTACAGCTGAGGATTCCGAAAAAAAAGAAGGGGCATGCACCAATTCAAGTGTCAGTGATGTTAGACCAGAAGAGCTGTGACATGCAGTTGGAAACAGCAGCAACAGTGTCTATCTTGCATAAGACCCTATATGACCAGCAGTTTAATCAGTGGCCATTGCGGTGTACTAAGGTTCTTCCTCGGAGACCCAGGGGCAGATAGTGGCGGCAAGGGAAAGACTAAACTGGCAGAAAAAAAGGGCGAAAGAAAAGTAAAGAACGGCGAGAAGAGCCGCTGGGGACAATGTCGTTTGGACAATTCCAAACGGTCGCCGCCGTTCTGGCTTCTGATTGGTGCCAGAAAACTGTTGTGTTTTTCTGCCCAATCAGAAGCCAGCAGACCTATGGGTCGTTTCGTGTGTCCTTGCACGGAATGATACATGAATGGTAGTTGCTTGCCATGTTTGTCTGGGCCGTTCGCCGAGGCTTTGCTCGAGATGAAAAGTTCCAGTCTCAGCAGAAAATTTAAGAGATTTCCTTCAGACTTTACGCTAGAATCTCACCGGTGAATACGCTGGATCTTTCGCAGGTATCGTAATAGTAGCGCATTTAAAAGTTTGCGAGTTTTTTAAAACACTCACCAATTCACTGATGTATTATTTGGTTTCCTTTGGACGATATTTATATTACTGTTCTGTCTAGATTTCTTGCATCACTTGCTGTGAATGAAACTTTGCCAATCGCGGGTATAAATTCTTTTGTCGCACAGGCCAGACAAGTATGTTGAGCAATCGGCAACACCACAGGCACGACTTTCTTTGCGCGCCAAAAATCACAACTTCGGCATCGCCATTTGTCGGTTATCGAGTCTTGTTCACGATGAACAATGTTAATCCGGACGACTGTTGTCGAGTCTGTTCTTTCGTTTTTGTGAGTGAAAAGAGAAAAAGAAATATCGATGGTGAGTTTCGTAAAATATTTGAAGAAGTATTTAATCAAAAACTACTAACTGATGATGGGCTTCCACATGCAGTGTGCGATACTTGTCACTATAGAGTGCAAAGAATGTGGAAAAGTAAGTAGTCTGCAGTCGTCATTCACGTCAATGAGCTATCGAAGAGGAGGCATCCCTTGTCTCCTTTAACGTCTAGTCAAGGGGATGAGCAAAGATCATGTCACATAAGCAAAAAGAAGGTCTATAGAATTCCATTTGAAAACGTACCAATTAGGCCAAAGCCACCATCCTTGAATTTTGCATGATAAAAGACCCCAAACAAGAAAATCAAGTTGTCATTGCTTTCCAGTTTCCACTAAGGGAACATCTGTCAATATATGCACAGTTACAACTTATGTAAAATAAATATAGAAAATTTTATTTATTAGATGCCCGTAGATGTGTAGATACCAGACCTGCCAAACTGCAGGAACTGAAAATCTGGAGATTTTGAAAAAGGGTGTCCCATAGACCTAAAGATCATAGAAAAAATTGAACCTGGAGATTCATATAATCATAAAAAAGGAAACAATGAAACATGCCAGTGTCTACAGAATGCAGGAAAATGCTTGCTGCTCATCTCATTAAGGAAGAGGAAGACTGGTGTCTACTATAACCGGTGAGGTGACAAGTCATGTCAATGTCATTTTATTTTTTTTTCTGTTTAATTATTTTGTCACTTGTTTGGTATAATTATAGAACTAAATATTCCCATGTGAGAAACAAGCACTTGATGTTCACTACACCAAAGTGGCTTGGTAAAATGTCTACCTAGCCTTAAGTCACATAAACAACTGGGAAAAAACTGTTACTATATTATTGTCAAATAACCTGCATGGTCATGAAGAAAGAGTGAGATAGCAAATAAACATCTCATCACATCAAATGCTGCTTTTAAAACTTAATATCTCTACTGCATGCTCCTACCTGTAAGTAACTTACAATGAACTAACCTTCCATGCTTAGATTATTGTCCATTACCCCCAAAAAATCATCTCGAAGGAATTACCACCAAACTTGCACAGCCTGGGGATTGCTCTCTGCAAGGCCAACACCACCTCAGCTGTTACCTCTGCAGTATTTAGATCTAAAGGATTGCGTAGGGCAGTGATTGATCGTTCTTGCTTGGAGTTGGACAAAGAATGCCGGAAAATTGTAAACAAGAAAAAGTGTTTATTTAAGCGCACTTCCCTAGACGACCTCAAGAAAATTACATGGCCGAATCTAATAAAAGAGTGGAAAGGTCACCCCACTTTTTAAACAAGGCGATCGGGACGACAAACAATTATCGTCCAATTTCGGTGATCTCAGTTATGGCCAAGGTCTTTGAAAGAATCGTCTATGATCAATTATATGCCTACCTAGAAGAGCACAATATAATCTGTAAGTATCAATCAGGCTTTCGCGCTATTCACTCAACTGTCACGGCTCTCCTTGAGGCCACGGATGCTTGGGCGTACAATATTGACCGCGGTAAAATCAACGCCGTTGTTTTCTTAGATCTCAAAAAGGCCTTCTACACAGTTGACCATGAGATCCTTTTATCAAAATTAAGCAATTACGGCATATATGGTAATGCGCACCAATGGTTTAAGTCGTACTTAGAGAATCGTACTCAAATGTGCTCCATCAACGGATCGCTCTCTCAAAGCTGTTTATTAAGTTGTGGTGTTCCCCAGGGGACGATATTAGGTCCATTATTATTTCTGTTATACATCAACGATCTTCCAAACTGTCTTTCAAATTGTGAGCCGAGGATGTACGCTGATGACACCAACCTTACGTTCGCAGGTGATAATGCTGACAATATTCAGTTGCATCTAAATCAAGATTTAGAGAATGTTCACAATTGGCTGAGAGCAAACAAACTTACTCTAAATATGACTAAAACCGAATTTATGCTTATCGGATCTAGGCAGAGGCTAAGTACTCTCACAGAGTCCCCGACATTTGCAATTAATGATTTTGAAGTTAGCCAGGTCACTACTGCAAAATCACTTGAAGTGACCATCGATGACAGACTTGACTGGAGTGGCCATAACGAGAAAGTAACAAAGAAAGTCGCTTCTCGTATTGGGGCCATGAAACGAATAAGGCACCTTGTCCCTCAGGCGACCTTACAACTAATATATCAAGCTTTAATACAGCCACACTTTGATTATTGCAACATTGTTTGGGGAAACTGTGGGATAACCTTACGGGATAAGGTTCAAAAGCTACAAAACAGAGCAGCCCGTGTTTTGACCTACTCAAGCTATGACGTAGATGCTGGTCACCTTTTCAAACTTCTAGGGTGGAAAAACCTAGGTTTCCAGCAACAATTTCAAAGAGCTACGATGGTTTACAGGTCTCTGCACGGGTTGGCTCCAAACTATCTTAGTTCTAAATTTGAAAGGCGAGAAGTCGCATATAACCTAAGGGACTCTGAAAATAACCTCAATGTTCCATTACCGCGCACAAACTATTACAAAAACAGCTTCAGCTATAGTGGCGCCATTCTCTGGAACAGTCTTCCCGGTAACTTAAGGGAAGCAGAGTCCCTTGGGCAGTTTAAACGATTACTCAAAGAACTGTAAGGCACGGCATTCGCGGAAAGCAGCTTTTTCATTTAAATATTTTTATTATATTAGTATTAGGCATTTTTAAAGCTGACGAATTTTGTACCGTGGATATTTAAAGATTATCTATCTATCTATCTATCTATCTATCTATCTAAAAGGGAGGCACCCATCCTATACAAGGTTCTGAGGGCGATTGCAACGCCATCACAGGTTTCTGAGAGGAAACTGCAATCACTCAGGCCTGTTATAGGATCTGCTGCTGCTATGTTGCTGAAGGCAAGAAATGCCCAAATGTCTGCTTTTCAACACCTTGTCGCCCTTTCTCTTTTTCTTGGTCGAACAAGAAAAAAGGTTTGTTTTAAGATTCTTATTTCTTAGTTTACATGTAACATGATTGGCATTGCCATTGTTAAAAACATCACAGTGTGTCAGTGAGTAAAATTCTAATCCTAGCGATATACAGGATGTTTGCCATGTGCTGGAATCTACAGTGTAATTAGATTATGGCCTAGTTTCCAGAAGTCTCTTATAGCTTTATGGTAGAACAATATTGGACTAGTAAGTTGGAGGCCATCATTTTGGCTCCTGTTGTGAGAGTTTTAACAGAGAAAAATTGTAAGGGTGTGCCTTTCTCTGAAAATAAATCATGATTATCATTTAATCACTACTGGCTAGGCTGATTTCTATTGGTAACATAAGCACAGCAGTGACCACATTATTCACATCGTATGTTTATGTCTGTGGATTGGTGAGGGTCAAGTTTACAAAGATTTTCTAACTTAAGAAACCTCATAAGCATTGCCTTTTTTTAACAATACAATACAATACTTGGGATATATGTTAGCTAAAGATGGCTCTGTGGAATGAGAATCCACCCCCTGGTATATGGATACAAAGTCATTGGATAATTATGTAATTGGGACATAAACTAAATGTAGGGATTTACCAGACTTCAGAAGCCAGGCATGTGCATGAGCAGGAGGAGCACCAACAGGAAGATCAAAAAGGCTGCAAAACATTTCCAGCAAAAAGTGAAGTCATGGAAAGCTTCCATGGAAACAGCAATCAACAACACAGTCTCAATTTCATCTCAAAATGAACAACAGGTACAGTTTTAACCGGCGGGGCTAAAGTGCAGGTCATAGGTCACAGGTCAGTTTACAGGTCACAGGCCACAGACCAGGTCACAGGTCAGACCACAGGACACAGGTCAGGTCACAGGTCAGATCACAGGTCACACACAAAAACATTAGGACACTGGACAAAA